GGGGTCTTGCACAGCCAGACCTTCTATCACTGAGCTATACTCCCCAGCCCCCGGATGGTTTTCCTGTCTCATGTACTATATAAATTCTGCCACATGATACTTTTTACTCCATTTTCTTAGCCATTGTCCTGTTATAGTAGAATTTAACTTAGTCCCAGTCTTCTACCGTCATAAAAATGACTCTGCTGTTGTTATAATTTGACTGTGAATTTCCTGTTTCTTAACAGCATTGAAGCAATATTAAATTTCCTGATTCTTGTGAACATAGAGTACCAGTTAACAAACATTGATTTCTTTGTTATTGTATCTGAAGAATTTAAAATTAAAGAGGAAAGATGGGGTGTGGGGCTCTATTAAAACCTTATCCTTGCTTTTTTTCCACCCTTCTGAAGTGTTTCCTAAAAGTTGAGACACTGTTGGTTCATAAACTCTGAATATGTTTATACTTTTTACATTTAGAAGTAGTGTATCAACTTACAAGGACACTGGTAACATTGGCTTTTCTCATTTCAGGGTTTTCTGGAAACTGTATTGGTTGTGGGGAAAGAGGATTTCGGTATTTCACGGAATTTTCCAACCACATTAACTTGAAGCTCACCACCCAGCCAAAGAAGCAGAAGCACTTGAAGTACTACCTAGTCAGAACCTCCCAGGGTGTGTTATCAAAAGGGCCACTCATCTGCTGGAAAGGTAATTGGATTCCGGAGGGGGAGGGGAAGGAGATTCTGGGGTGGTGACTGGTGACCCTTGCAGGGTTCAGAGTACAGGTGTGGGGTAGATAAATAGCTCAAGTTCAAAAGGCTGCTCAAAAAATGTGAAGCCCTTTGGGAGGTTTGTGATGGTCCCTTGTTAGAATTAAGTGAAGCATTTGAGCGTTAGGAAAGTGCAAGTCTCGAGAACACATTGTGGCACTGGGGCTGGGAGATGCACTTCTGGTGTCTCATCCGTTTCCGAGTGTAAAATGTGCTCTTTGCTTTATTTCGGTTTGTTAGTAATTCTCACTAATCTACATTTTTCTATTTTATTTTACCAAAATCATACCCCAGATAAGCAATCCAGCCTTCTGGGTGTCTAGGGGAGTGCATGAGTGAGTTGGCAGTTTTGTTTCTTTAGAATTAGCAACAATTTGGCTCTCTCCACTCTGTAGGAAGTAACATCCTCACCAGCCTGGTGGGAATCACCATGTTTTTAGCCACTGATCTAAAGCAGTTTCTTCTGACACTGAGAACTTACTCTCCATAGAATAATTGTCTTTACCCTTCTTGCTTACATAAGAGTTTTGCCTGACTATGGAATAGCACAATACATCTGAATTGCAGTAGCTCATTTGTCTCTGAGTCCTCCACATAATGACTCTTGGCTGCATTTGAGGTGGCATTATGTAACACCACAGGAAACGATGCTGTATGTTCCAAGCCATTGTGATCAGAGCTTCAATCCCACAACCACTGAATTCTTAAGAACTTCATAGCTCTTTATCCTGGCTAAGGATAAAGAATTTTCCTCCAGAAAGTCTTCTTGAATACTATAAACCCTAGTTAAAGACTAAAAACTTGATAACTATCATCCCTCTACCTTTTAACTTTTTTACCTTAGCTTTTGTTTTGCTTGTGTAAATACACTTAACTTTCTTGGTGCTAAGAGAGTTGATCTTTGTAGTGAAAAATAACATTTTTACATTAACTGATTGATTGATTGATGTGTGTGTGTGTACAGCGCACACTTGTGTGAAAGCCAGAGATCAGCCTGTGGGAATCTGTTGTCTCTCTTCGCTGTGTGAGTTCAGGGACTGAGCTTGTGTGTCAGGCTTGGTGGGGAGCACCTTTGCCCTCTGCACCACCTCACTGGTCATTTTTAAAAGTAGCTGCATACAGCAGTCTTTATTTTTGAACTAAAGTTGTGTAATTTACCTATATAAAATCATGTGATGTCAATATGCATGTAATATGCATAAGATGAAGTTAAACGTATGCCAAAACATAACCACTTTTCTGAAAGTCATAGCACAGCATGCTTCAGAAAAGTGCTTTCAGCCTTTGCAAATTTCTCATTCCCATGGGAACTTTTTTTAGAACTAGTAACCTGTCATACAACTGTTTCAATTTCTATTTCATGAACTACTTTTTGAGACTAGTAATAGCATAATTTAGTTGGAGCTTGAAGTCCAAGAGACTGTCACAGTGTTCACTGTCAGTACACAATGTAATTAGTCATTAATAGCAGATACTTAATGCAAAGATTGCCGCTGCATTATCAATAATCGCTTTGAATACCACTTACTATTTCCTTTACTAGGAACTGAGTGAGAATGAGGCTGGAGAGGGTTGCTCAGCCATTAAAGGTTAGGCTCATGACCAAAAATATAAGAACTGAGAATAATAATAATTTGCTTCCATCTTTATCTTTATCTGTGGAGTTTTTACTTCTCTGATGTTTAAATATTCGTTCAGATTGAGTAGAAAAGTCTAGAAGCAAATAAGAAGGATTAAAGTTACCATTGCACATTTAAATAAATTATGAACAAGAAGTTACCTGGTATCCTAAAAGCTCAATGTTTTTATAAATATTGACATCTCAGCCTCTGTCTTGCCCATAAAACTAGCAAGGATGTGTTGGTTATTTGCACTTTTCATGTGGGAACTGATCTGTGGGTCATAAAATTGTGATTGTTCTTTGCCTTAAGCATAGCACCTGTCTTAGGAAGAACTGTCACCAGCCTGAACAGGCTGCTAGAGACAGTTATTAGGAGAGCTGCTGTCACTCAAGAAGCAGAAACTTATTTTGGAGATCTTGCGGATCATGTGCCCACTGCCAGTTAAAATATAAACTAGCTTTTTCATATCATGTTTTTAACTCTCTTCTAGAATGTAGAAGCCGTCAATCCTCTGCTGTTTGCCACTCCACTAAACCTGTTTCTTCAGTGTCATCAACTGTGGCTCCAGAAAATGGGACAGCTAATGGATACAAAGCAGGCTTCACTCAGACAGGTACAAAATGGTTTCATGTTAATGCAAGGATAGATGTGTGTTTAAGGAAGCATCTTTAAGCTTGCTTAGCTGGTTTGAGTGAGATGTTTTCAAATAAAATACTATTTGGGTATTACTAAGATACCATTTGAGTTACTATTATAATTAGAACCCAGCACTGAGATAAGTCTGTGCAGGACCGGGGCTCATGTCTCAATAGTCCACCATATTAGACAGTGAAGGGAGAAAAGAACTGACAGCAGAAAACTTAGCTTTAGCATAGAATGGGATGTCAGGGACTCGGACAGCACAGAGTGTGTAGAAATCAGACACAGCAGCTATAGGGTAGTGCACACTGGGACACACTCATGAAGACTAGAATTCTAGGGTAGAGGTCCATTTAAACCCTGAGATGACCCAAATACCTCCCCTCAGAGTTCAGAGAACCCCATAGAAAAGGAAGGCAAAGAGTTTAAGAGCCAGAGGAGATGGAGGACTCCAGGAAAGCAAGGCCCATTAAAGAAAAAACAAAACTACAAAAACAAAAAACCCTGAGATAATTCAAGAAAGCAGCACTCTACCTGGATATGAGACAAGGCTCCTGAGTGGATTGTGTATCACAATGGATGAATCCAGGATCATCTTTTTAATGCTACAAGATAGGAGCTCAGTTACAAATAACTAGATAAAAATCTTAGTACTTGAAACTTTGAGTACATTATCAAAGCTGGGCCAGCAGAATGACCGGCTGATTTGATGGGGAATAAATTGGCTACTAGGCCAGCTTTCTAAACCTCTTCATTATGCAGCCCTAGCAAGAACCTGAGATGAGGTAAGACTTCAAGGGGAGCCCAGTGGCCCATGCTGCATGTTGATGAGTTGATTATTTGAGAAAAGTACTCAAATTGACATGGTTAGGTCTTAGGCAAGAAGTATATGAAGAAGAATATGAATTCGTTTTTTCAGTTTCCCTTGTCTGCAATATTTTATCCATCTGATATGTAAACTTCATATGTGCTTTACCGTTGTCTGCTCCACTTCAGGTTAAAAATCTTCATTAGCTAACTTGCAGCTTTCAAATCTTATGCAAACTTCTCGTGAGCTACTAAACTGTACTTTTTACAAGATGGAAATGAGTATTAGAATATGTCAACAGCAATACAAGTTCCAGCAGAATGTATCTTGCCCTATGCCCATATCAGCAAAGTTTGCCTGATCCTGAATAAGAATGTCTAACTTTCAGGCTGTCCAGGATATTGAGTTAGAGCCCATTACCGAAGACAACAGATTGTTTCTTTCTAAAATAAACGAAAGAGCATCCTGTCACTAGCAGTTCAGGAAAGGGAAAAAGTTGGTGTCTGGTTCTTGGCATTGAAAGGCCAACCTTCATTGCGTCAGCAATGTACCTACGTGGCTGTCCTAGAATATTATTTTAGTAATTTGATGGGTTTATGGTGTGTTATCTGTCCTTAGACCTTGGAGATAATAAAATATTAAAACTATAGTATTAAAATTGACATTTACTTCATTCCAATAAATCCATATCAAGTGTTTATTATGTTCCAAGAACCTTATCAGATGTTGTGAGGCAAAGTTCCAATACCTGACTAACAACTCCCATGATTTAAAACCACTAATAGAAGGGATTAAAAAACAATAAACCTCGAGTGCCAGGATAGGCGCCAAAGCTACACAGAGAAACCCTGTCTTGAAAAACCAAAAAAAAAAAAAAAAAAAAAAAAAAAAAAAAAAAAAACAATAAACCACTCTAGCTTTACTACAGGGTAGGCTAGATGTATAAATAACAAGTTGTCCCCGAAAATAATGAAAAATATTAAAACGTCATAGGCACTAATATAATCTTAATCATACCAGGAAATATATTTTGAAAATGTATTTTTGTTGTGAAAGAAGAAATCAGTCTTTTACAAAGATTCAGGCTTTAGCAAAGGATCCCCCAGTGCCATGAGGAGACATGAGCAAAGAAGGGAGAGAAGGTCACTGACTGACTCATAGTAAACACAAGTGATCAATGCTGTTTCATATTCCTATGTGGGGGTGGAAGAGATAATTTGACCATGAAATTCATTGTTAGCAGATTTAGATACAATGCAGATAGTTTACGAGAAGAAAATGTTTTTCTACTAGGCATCATATTAAAGACTTTCATACTGATCCATTGATATGGGTAGATGTACCAACTATTACTCCTTCTAACACAGACTGAATGGAATAGGCTGTAAGAACTTCCTGTTAGCATTATGGTGTCATGAAAAACATTAGGTATAGACTAAGATTCTCCCCCCTTTGGATAATTGGAATGCTGGCAGTCAAGGTTTCAGAGCCTGAAATGTGAATCCTCAGGATGTAGTATTGGAGGAAGGGATTAATTTACCACCTATGTGGCTCTGCCTTGATTTCTACCTGCAAAAAAAGGTTCATGGCCATCTCTTAATATAAAATGCATTTAGTGCAGTTCAAAAGTCCCATGAGCATAACAGTTCTAATATTGTTCTGAAGTATAAGTCTAAAGTCCCTACTGTAATTCAAGCTAATCTGCCATGGACCCCTTTAAAATCAAAATAAATCACATACCATTAAATATTCAGTGGCATAGAGAGAATATTCCTGTTCTAAAGGGGAATAACTGGAACACAGAAAGAAGAAATGTGGCCAAAGAAAGACTCCAGCAGATCTGTGTGGCCCTGCCCTATGACCTTGGTGTTTGCAGGCCATATGGCTTCTCTCATGGACTGGGTCCAGTTCTTTCTTTCAGCTTTCCTAAGCAGACATTCTGTGCATTTGGCATTCCTGGTGCAGCCAGATTTTTACCCTGATAGCTTTATATATCATCATCTCAGAGGCTCTCTGCAGGGGATCCAACCCTGCTGCCCATTGACTATACCCATGGGCTTTTCTCTGGACTGTTAGTAGAATTGCTATGACCCCAGCAACCCTTGCATTCTTTATGCATAAAAAAACAACACTATATGGATGACAAAGTTGCCACTAGCTTAAGTAGCAGCTAGCTAGATCCCTTGAAGCATGGTAACAGTGGCCTCTGGGTACCCGGGCAACAGAACCCAGGACAACACTGCCCTGGGAAGCCCTTTGGGGGCAGGCATCCCAGAAGCAAATTCTTCCCAAAAGAGTCTTTCAAATGAGTTTATAATTCTATACTTTGGAACCTGTGATGGTAGGATCTGGCTGATTCCTGAGATGAACTTAAAACAACTTCCTTTTTGCTGTGGTATTAGCTGCTTGGCTCCTCTTTAAAGACACTAATCTTTTTTTTAAAACATACACAAACATACATTCATTCACATACACACACGTGTACACAGACAAACACATGCACATATACAGACATAGCATCCACATACACTCTCATACATACATACTCAAACACACACTCACACACATACACACAATCTCTCTCTCTCTCTCTCTCTCTCTCTCTCTCTCTCTCTCTTCTCCCACACACACACACACACACACACACACACACACACACACTTTTCTTATCTATAACTTTCATTTTGTTCCTTTTCTTTCCAGACTACATGCTTTTCATACTCTTCTCAGCTTTTGGTTCTTAATTCTCATTGTAAGTCTAACTAAAAGCTAGCAATAACCATGCCATAGCCTGATTGCTAATCCTTCTTGAAATTTCCTTGCCAAATTGAGAAATCTGTCACCACCTTTAAGCTATGCCTTTCAGTTTTGGAACATGCAGAGAATGTAAACAGATTCTTTGCCAGAATGTAGCACCTGTGGCCTTCAATAATTTCCAGTAGAAACCTCTTTCCATTTTAAGCTTTATTAGCACGGATTCTGCTGCCCACGTTTCAGCGGCTGGCCCTCTGAGCTCCCACTGCAGTTGCCCCTAGACTCTGTTTACAGCATTCCAGGGCCTCTTAGCCCAAATCTCCAAATCTCTCATTTTGCTTTTCTGCTTATTCCAATACCTAAAAAATGTGTAAGATATAGGTGACTTGAATTTCATTTTTATTTAAATTTTATATTGGCCCTGGGAGAGCATTATTTTATTTGTGTACCATTTTTTCCAAATAAAGAGGATGTATTTATCCATCAGTAGGCCAAAGGTGAGCTACCTAAGGCCTGCCAAAACCAGTAATACTATAGCTTTAAGAGAAATTATCAGAAGGGCTATTGTGTGATTTTGTGCGATGGCTCAATTTTTCTTTCTATAGGCCATTTCTCCATAGAAAACTACTGTGATTATGTTCTATGGTTTCACATGAAAATGAATATGTTAAAAATCATACATCAAATCACTTTCTTAGTTGGGAATGTAGCTCAGTCATATAGCACTTGCCTTACATGTATAGGGCCCTGGATTTGATACCCCAGCCCCACAATAAACTGAAGCATTTCCTTTAATTTTCCCCTTTTGGTTTTAAACAAATAACTGAAACATTCACATGAACATCCACAGGCACTGTGTCTTTTGTGTATAATGAAGGCATACCTGTTATTAGAATTAGAGATACTGTATGTGAAATGGGATTTTCCTCTCTGTGAGCCACTGTAGGTAACTTCCTTACTGTTGTAGCCTTGGGTATTAGAGAAGTAAGATGAACAACAGATGAAAGCTTGACTCATTACATAGGCCAGGCACAGGGAAACTTACTGACAAAGATGGGCTGCACGGAACACAGGCATAGACACAGGGCAGCCAGGAGAAAATCCAAAGCCAGATTCACATCACATGTGTGTGTGTGACTTAGAAGGAGCAGCTTGCTGATCAGTGGGGCAGCTCTGTAAATGGGACGCAGAAATCAGAAATCCTGCACAAAAGTGAAACTGATGCCCTCTTTTATACACAAAGATAAATCCCAGGTCATTGGAAGATAGAAATATAAAACTGCATGAAGCTTTTAGTAGATATTTAAAATATGATTGCAGGTCCAGGAATGATGTCTCACAAATAGAAACACAAGGTGTTGATTGTAAAAGGAAAGACCTGCATTTCACTCTGTTAAAGTTATAACCTCATA